AGAATTGAAATAGACATAAAATGTAAGGGGCGAGCTATTTTTTGTAGTAAAAACGATAAAAAATTAAAAAATTCCCTTTTTTCGAGTCGTACAGCAATCGTAACCTATCACCTGACGTAAACATTTTATTGGTATAAAAATTCTGTAGCTCATACGTACAAAATAAGTAGTTCGCCTCCTTCGGATTACAGAAACAAATAATACAAGACCTTTTCAGCTATGATTAAAAGCGTAGAAAAAGATTTATCGTTCCAACTGCAATTTATGGTAATTCGCACGTTTAGTTAAGGTAAAGACAGCAAAAATTGCGTCTGGCAGTAAGTGCCAGATTTTCCAAGAAATGGCACTTCAATAAGTTAGATAAGGACATTCCACGTATTTGAGTGAGACCAGAAGATATTGTAAGAAGTTCATTTAGAGATATCACTGACACTGAAGAGTCTGCTTTATCGACTTCGTACAAATTTGGCCAACCTTTCAGCATCCTCTTAACATATTTCTAATGCATTTATTGTACGATATCTCGAAAACCATCCATTTTTGGACTTTGTGCCATGAACACTTTTGATCAGGATGTCATAAAGTATAACATATCAAAATTTCAGTAGATTTGACCGAAAACCAAAACCCTTTGGCTTTGTGCGGGGTTTTTTCAGAGCAAAATTTTATGTTTAGCTTTTTTCTACTTTTTGCGTACTCCTTATTCTGTATGTGTAGAGTAACTTATTTTCAATTCCAGCAAACATAGTGACGTCAAAATGACGTCAAAAATTGATGATTACTGGTCAAGTGACGTCAGATGACCAAAAATAATCGTATATAAAACGTCTTTTTTATATACGATTATCGTCTTAATTACATTGTTTAAAAACGTCATATATATCGTTAATTTTTAGTCATTTCTATAGACGAACTTGTAAAATAATTAAAAATTTGAAAATATTAATTTTTGTTGTTAGTATAGAATACTACAACTTTAGTAATACAACAAATTTAGTGTTATTAATAGTGGTTCAAATACATAATATAGTTGTTACATTAGAAGATCAAATTTATATTATTAGAGAACAATTTGTTGAATATTCAGATTTTTATTTTTATCCATGTAAATCTTCTGAATTAAACATTTTTGTCACAAAAAATTTATCAAGATATAAACTTTGGTCATTTAATAATTTCTTTAACAAATGCATTGTTTATCCTTTTAATAATACTTCTAATGTATCGTTTCCTATAATTCACAGTATAATTAATTAATTTACAACTCTTTAGAGAGTTATTAACAAATAAAGTTAATCAGATTGCGTTTAGCCGAAGTATGAAGGAGCATTGCATGCTGTGCGACTCTTCGCGCTTACTTCTCTCGATTAAAATTTCATTCTAATTTTTCATATATTAATAAAAAAGCAAATGAATAAATCAATAAATAAGGTAAATAAATAAATAAATAAACACATAAATAAATAAATAACAATAAATTACAGTTCGAAATTTATCTAATTTCTAATTGTTTTTATTGTTATTATTTATTTATTTCAATGAGGAAAAGTTTAACGACCAGGAACTTATTAGAACTTTTACTTATTTATTAATAAATTTAGAAAATCTTATCGAGAGAACTAAGTGCGAAAAGCCGTACGCATGATACGTTCTTTTGTACTCTGGTTAAGCGCGATCTGATTGATTAACTTTATTCGTTAATTAACTCTGTAAATAATGGTTTGAGCTAAAATTAATAAAGAAACTTTCAGTTCAAAATTTCATTTTTTTTCACGTATTAAAATATTAAGAGTTTTGGGACACCCTGTATACATATGGATATATGTATTATAATAGACGGACAGATTATTAGAATCTTGCTTCGTATACTGCAATGGCGTTCTTATTTCATGTTCTCGATGTTAGTAACTAAATGCTATCATTTTTATATATAAATGCAGTTATATGGAATCATTCAGACTCTATAGACTATAGAGCATTATAAATACCATTTGACGTACCTACAATCTTGATCGTATTTCAATCTTATGGATCAAAATGCATTTTTAGCTAAATGTTCTTTAAGTTCGAACCATCAACTTAAAATTGACGAGAAAATCGACGGAGATCATTTGATTAAAATATCAAATACTTTTTTCTTCGCAAATATGAAATTTAAATAGGAGAAAGGAGGTGTTGTTCGCTTAAATCGTGTCTTGCTTTCTTACAATTTATCACGCGTTTCGTTTTACTTCTTCTAATTTTGTTTTTTTGCGTATTTTCCTCACATTATATTTTTAAAAATACATCGATTTACGAGAACTCTTACGACGAGGGGTGAGCAGTGAGCTGTGGTTGTGTGGTGCTGTGTGGTGATAGCGGTGCCAGTGATGTTTGAGGTGCTCTGGATGGTCAAGGGTCATTTGGATACAGAGGTGAGGGGTGTAGTTGCCTTAACTTTGGCAGTGGGATGGGAGCCACAGTGTACCTTGGACCGGCGGCAGAAGCCGCTTGTCGTAACGGGTCGACTGCAGCAAGTTGTCCAGAATCTCCTTATCCGATTTTCCCTCTTCGAAGCTGCAACATAATGTATTGTAGATATACCCGGAAGGAACCTGTTACAGTGCATACAGTGATTTTTCCACAAACTTCCAGTAGAAAATCTTCTTTGTCTTGATACCTCGAAAATTGTTTCGCTCGATCATAGCAAAACAGAAAGAATATATTGCAATATAATATTTTACAAAAACATTTGTAATTGTTTGCAAATCAATAAAGAAGATGGAACAATCTCACGGGGGTTCAAAGTATTATTTATTTTTTTAAGTGACCAAGATTAACTTTTTGTTAGAATTGCATTTACTCTTTTAAGTACAATGTACGTTGTATTCATTTGGAACATATGTACATATAAAAATCTACCAATAGGTACGATGCAGCTTTCTAAAGCACTATATAAAACTGCATCTAATTTCACCCACATTACGCTATAAGATGCTACCAAATAACTTTACCTGTAGTCTACTTGTGCTAATACATTCAATGCAATCGAAACATTCATAATATTGATATACATAATTTCCTTTCTATCGCCAACATTAGTGATATTAGTAAAATATACTGATAATTCTATATTTTCGATCCATATAAAGTCCTAGATTACATGTTTTTACATGCAAAAAAATCTTATCAAAATCGATCAATAATTTCCATCTCGCTCTCTTCGACTAATTGTAAAATGCGAAATAAACAAATGAACTTTTTAAATAATTAATTAGATTTTTAAATAATCAATAGATATTTATAAAAGCACTGTTGATTAATGAAGGGAGAAGATACTTGGGCCGATCACATCAACATGCGACTGTGTTAGGTACTGATTGCATAGGCGATCAATAAAGATTAGCCATAATTAAAAGACTCAAATTAATATTATACTAAATTAAATGAGATAATTTTTACGTTGGAAGAATCGTAAAAGGTGGTAAATTATATTTCTTTCAAACTTGTACTATGATAAAATTATAAGATTAT